ATTTTTATAAAATAATTTAAAAAATTATATTTGATATACCTTTTATGCAGAAAAAAATCCACTAACATATTATAAATTAGGGGTTAAAAATAAAATAATTACATTTTTAGCATCAAGAGAACTCGAACACGTGCCTTCTTCACCAAATGCAACATGGACGGACCAGTAGAACCACTACTTATGTTGTGTCAAATTTTAACAGAATATTATATTTATTTATATTCAATTGACCCGGTGGTTTAAATGATCTAACCAATTAAACCAATCAAACCGAAAACCAAAGGTCAAAACGATTTGACCTCTGGTTCGGTTTTCAAAACATTGCTTGTTGGTTCTCAACCACCGTCTTTATTTCAACTACGGCCACAATGACTATAAATCAATCAATTTTATTTCGGCCATGAAAATAATATTATAGCTCCATAACATGCTTCCCTCATTAATTGATCTTGTAACATTTCATCACATTTTATTATGTATTTCCAAATATGTATGCACTTCCCTTACCACCTCTAACTACATCATTCACAAGTGAATGACTTCGAGAGGAGAATAGTGTAAGGATAGGTCCGAGGTTAAAGACCTCGGACGTACTGCTACATCTCTTTAATGACCGAAGTGAAGGTTAAATTCAGCCCTTCTTGATCAAACAACTGCATGACAAGAACAATGGGCATGTCCGCACCTGATTTCCCATTCCCGAGATCATCACCTGAAGGGACACGTCAGACTCCGATTATCTCGTTAAGCAAGCCACATGGACGTCTCATTAAGGCCTATAAATACTCTCTAGGAGTCACCTCAAAAAGGTAATTGAAACCGACCGAAAGTTCCTTTTTTCATTATTCTAAAGGTAGATCCGATTATTGCTGACATAAGTATTAGAGTGTCTACCTCGAGAATCTATCTCGGGGCTTTGCAGGTTTATCCGGAGTAAAGATAAGGACTGAAGAAGGACTTTTGATTTGGTGCAATTACACCTCAAGACCTGATGAGCACAAATGTTGTTCTTAGTGAGTTGCATTTTATACGAAACAATCTTCTACGAAACCAAACAAACTACTAGGACATCCCAGCCTCTGAGTCCGGAAGTTCTTAAATATATTTAGTTATAAAGTATATAATAAGCAGAAAGCGTGCGTGTTATTATTATTTTTTGGTTTGTGATAGCCAAGGAAATAAAATGTCAGATTCTATTATGTTATTTATGAAGCACAATTTCCCTTTCTTTCTTTCTTTTTTTTTATTGTTTCCTTTCTCTACTCTTTTGTGTGTCTGACAATTTGGTTCTTTCTCTTCTCACTTTCATTTTAGTGCCTATAAAAGACAATTAAAGTTTTACGAGTTTTTAATTGAGTCCAAAATTCTTGAAGTAATCCCTTTTTTAAAAAAATTTTTGGCCAAAAATCCCTTTTGAAAACATTGAAATTCCAAAGTTTTGAAATGATTAATTTGTAAAACGTTGAAATCTTTTCAACAAATTATAAATTAAAAAAATTTGATCTAAATTTGAATTTAAGATTTTGATTTTGAAAAATCAATTAATTTTTAAAATATGATTAATTTGGCAATTAATTCAAAATTTGTATTAAATTTTTTTGGTACATCAAAGAAGTTAGTTGCTTGACATTATAAGAGTTTGAGCTCCTAATCTTGACCCTAAATCAAGGTTTTTTTAATTAATAGATACCTAATCAACGAAGCTCCTATTAGCAAAATTTGTACTAAATTAAACCTTCACTAAATGCCTCCTAATACTTTTTTTTTTATACATCAAATAATTAGTTATTTAATGTAATCCCAACTAGCTATCCCTCAATTTCTAAGATATAAAACTCATTTCTTTTCCTTTATAAAAATGTGAATTAAGTTTTCAATATATATCCATAATCTGTTGTGCAAAATAAAATAGAGATCAATTGCAATATTACAAATAAAGTGCAGAAAAATAAAAAGAAAGGGAAAAGAATATCAAGCCATGATTTATAGTGGTTCCTCCAACCCGGAGTACGTCCACTCCTCAAGCCTCCTTGCTCGAGAGTTCAATCCACTAGAAATCTCTTGCTTACGGGTGCAAGATTAAACCGGAACAAACTCTTGCTTGCGGGTGCAAGATTAAGCCCTCACAAGTGAATCTCAACTCACTCAACCCCTTCAAGGATTATCCCAATCCAAGAAGAATACAAAACCCTTGTAAGACAATTAACCCAAAAGCTCACAAGAAGAGAAGAAGAAGGAGATCCAGAACACTTTCAAAAACAAACTCTGTTTTTCTGTATTCTTGGAGCAGTTCGTCCTTCTTCCTTCCTCAGATATGATTTTTGATGTCCATTTAATAGTTGGTTAGGAGCCTTGCAATTAAAACCCATTTAGCCTTTCAAAGCCACCTCACAATTGCCCCAATTAGGTTCCACCTTATACTTGACTTTGGAAAGTGCTCAGACAATGGTTCCCCCAAGGCCAATTAAGAATAAGAATAAACGGATAAATGAGTTGTCAAAATTTAACCTTTCAGAAATTTTTACTTCGAAACCAGAAATAAAGGTTCGAACCATTTTCGGAAAACAAAAGTTCGGGATTGATTTGAATCAAAATAAATTGGTTCGAACCCAGAATTCTGAACAAAGAGAACATGAATTAATTCTAATCGTGGGGAAAGATTAGAAACCTTAGATTAATTTTCCTGCACACTTAGCACAAAAATAGATTAAATTCTTTTGAATTATGGTTTTAAATCATCATCAAAATACAAAGAGAACCTAACACTTAACAATACAAAAGTTCTAACATTTGAAGTTGACCTCAGATTTTTAAATTAGTAGATACCAACTTGATAAAGCACTTGCTGCTCTCCTAAT